GATTTGATAGTGTTAATGGGTTGATGGTTTTATCTAAATTGAAGGGTTTATGTAAATTGGTGGGGTTAATGAGTTGATGGGTTTAACAATAGGGTTAGGGTTAGGGCTTAGGGTCTGGGACTATCACAGGGAAAACCCGCTCTGTTCAGGGAATGTCTCCTGGGCCAGGCGGGTTCCTGCCACCCCTGGGCCACATTCCTCTTGTTGATCCGCTTTTCCTGGAAGGCGGCCATGATTGCTCATTGGCTCCGGGTCTGTGGCTCTGGGGCTGCGATGACAACGAGGCACCCCCACCCCGAGCCTGGTACCCCACCCCGAAGCCTAGTACCCTCCAAGCGCTGGCCTCACCGAGCACAAACCGAAGATGACTTGGCGTGATGATGGGTTTAACGTGGGAAACTTCCAGGCCCAGGAAGACAGCGGCCTGAGCCCTCAACGCCTACAGCTGAAAAGGGTTCTAACGGAGCCTCTATTTCTATTCTTATGTCCTTGAGAGCTCAGGGGCCAAATGACACCGTCAGCGCAGAAACAGCTATGCACCCATGTCACCTCATGTTGCCAACATGCGTTCTGACCCTCAATCAGCCTGTCATTCGTCCTTGTACAATTTACACAATTAAAACAAACACGGAGCATTTTTAAATTATTCCGTGAGCCGTGAGAATGGCCTTTCCACACGATCCTCCCGAGACTCGCACCCCTGCCTGGCCCAGGAGGGAGGACCTCACCTGTTGGAAGCTCAGGAGCCAAGGGAGCAGGGGAAGGGGAGGGGCTGGAGGGGCTTAAAGGCAGCGGTAGTTCCCGCTGCGACCAGCAGGGGCCGCTGTGAGACCGTCCATGGGGTTGGCCTGGGCCTGGTCTCTCCCAGGAGGCAGCAGGGCAGGGCCTGGCTTCCAGTGAGGCCTGGGCAGGCGGGTCCTCCTGGGAGGGTGTCTCCCCTGCACGTGGCTGTGTGCCCTCCAGCAGCTGCTTCCTCCCAGGCCCCCCAACCCCCGCACGGGGAAACCAGTGCACCCACCGTCTGCCCTCCCTGCTCAGGGGCCGGAGACCCTGGGGCAGAGGGGGTGGGGGCACATTTGCATGAGCAGCCCCTTTCTGTGCCTGGGGAGGGGATAAGAGGCCTGGACCGCCAGCCCCAGCTCTGTGTCCTGGGAACAGGCTGCTCCACCATGGCCTGGACTCCTCTGCTCCTGGCACTCCTCTCTCTCTGCACAGGTAGTGCCAGGCCTGGGCCCAGGCTCCTTCCCTTCCTGCTCGGTCTCCTGGGAACCTGACCCTGGTCCCTGCCCCTCACTGACCAGTGTCTGTGTCTGCAGGGTCCCTCTCCCAGCCTGTGCTGACCCAGCCGCCCTCCCTCTCTGCATCTCCGGGAGCCACAGCCAGACTCACCTGCACCCTGAGGAGTGACATCAGTGTTGGCAGCTACAGGATAGTCTGGCACCAGCAGAAGCCAGGGAGCCCTCCCCGGTATCTCCTGAGCTATTACTCAGACTCCAGTAAGCACCAGGGCTCCGGGGTCTCCAGCCGCTTCTCTGGATCCAAAGACACCTCGGCCAACGCGGGGCTCCTGACCATCTCGGGGCTGCAGCCTGAGGACGAGGCTGACTATTACTGTATGACCTGGTACAGCAGTGCTTGCCACAGTGACACACTCAGACGGGGAAGTGGGACAAAAACCTCCACCTCCTCAGAGACTTGATTCACAACTGACCCTGTTAACATAACATCCAGGTGCAAACTCCACGGGGAAGAACCTTCTGGTTCCTAATGGGTCTCTTTCCCCGTTTGCTCCCATGTCTCTGCGTCTCAGAAGCACAGAACCAGCACCAACACCCACTGGTCCCCACGTCCCTGAACGGCGGCCTGTCATCCGTGGGCCACAGACCAGGGCCCGGGTGATGGCTGTGTCTGACGTGAACTAAGGAAACAGCTGTGTGACCTGTTCCCAGAGCCCAGGCCCCTCCCAGCAGGCGGCCCGTCCCTGGAGCAGGGCCTCCAAGCCCAGAGGTCAGAGCAGAGACCCCTCCCACCCGGCTCCAGTGCCCGAGGCTCCTGCCCAGCCCTGTGCCCGCTGACCAGGCCCTCAGCTGGGAGGGGCTGGGGGGCCTCAGGCCCAGAGGAGGCCCGGGAACAGGGCTGATGTCACCTCTGCTGGGACCCTGACCTTCAGAGCCATCAGGGGGAGGGGCTGTCAGTGGGGAAGGGGGGCCTGGGGTGACCCTGGGAAGCACGTTCCCTGAGTGACAGCAGCTCAGGTCTGACCGGGACTGGCCAGGGAGAAAGGCCACGACTCCCAGGAGGAGGCGGAATGGAGCAGAGAGTGTCCTGAGGGGACGGGGAGGCCACCTCAGGGGGCACCTGGATGCCCTGAGCCAGGAGGTCAGCGCCCAGAGCAGGGGGGAGGCAGGACGTGTCTCTCCTGGGCCTTAGTCAGCAGGGGACACAGTGGTGCGTCCAGGCCTGGCCGTCAGGGGGCACGCAGGGACCGCTGCTGAAGGGCTGGGCTCATCACAGCTGCAGCCTGTTCCCTGGTCCTGCCTGGTGCCCTGTGCTCAGGGCTCACAGCTGTGACCTTGCCCACCTCCGGGTCCCTCACAGCCCCACCCCTGCCCTCACCCTGCCATCCTCAGGCACAGGGACTCACCCAGGGCCCAGGGAGGATCACCTGCACTCTGAGCACTGGCGTCAGTGTTGGCGGCTATGGCATATCCTGGCACCAGCAGAAGCCAGGGAGCCCTCCCCGGTATCTCCTGTATTACTACACAGACTCAGATCAGCACCAGGGCTCCGGGGTCCCCAGCCGCTTCTCTGGGTCCAAAGACGCCTCGGCCAATGCGGGGCTCCTGACCATCTCGGGGCTGCAGCCTGAGGACGAGGCTCACTATTACTGCGCTACAGATCATGGCAGTGGGAGCAGCTTTAGTTACCCACAGTGTCTCAGAGGACGAGGAAGTGAGACCAAAACCCCTGGCCCAGAGGGGATGACTGTCTGCCCTTGGGTGTCAATCAAAGGGAGTCCGCCCAGCGCCCCCTCATCAGCCACAGGCCCACCCGCCCCCCAGGGAGGGACAGAGAGACAGAAACATCAATGATGACAGAGAATCATGGGCCAGCTGCCTCCTGAACGTCCCCCACTGGGGACTGAGGCCATCAAGAGGGTCTGTGCCCTGACCAGGGATTGACCCGTGACCTCCTGGGTCATAGGTCAATGCTCAATGCCTGAGCCCCGCCGGCCGGGCTGATGTTTGCTCACACACCCCTATGTCTAGCCCAAAATCTCGGGGTGACAAATGCACAACAAACCCCAGATTCAGCCACATGCCTGCTCCCCCACCTGACCTCCCCTGAGTCTGGGGGGTCAAGGGGCACCCCACCTCTCAGAGCTACTCCCACCACGTGACACTCCGGCCATTTCTTCCGCCCTCCCGGCCTGGGGCTCCGCCGGTCGCCTCCCCAGGTCCTGACTGGGGACACGTGCCATCCTCCCTCCCGTTTTCTGTTGTCACTTCCTCCAGCTGCCCCAGAACGCCCCTCACAAGGTCTCTCTGCCACGCTTCCTCCTAGAACTTTCCTTAGAGCTAAGTCTGCAACCTGCAGGCCTGGCACCGGCCCCGGCACAGGGGCAGCCGGAGTAAAAAGGTCCCGGCACATGGCGGGAGGTCTCAGTGGAGCCGGACCTGCCCTGGGCCCGCGCTGATGTCCATGGAGCCGGTTCCGCGGAGACCGGGAGGCATCAGAGGAGCGTTCATTCCCGTCCTCCCGGCAGCCGGGGAGAGCAGCGGGGCACCCACACACACCTGCTCTGCACCCCGCAGCTGTATTGGCAGAAGGACAAGGATTACAGGGGACACAGGCACAGGGTGGCCAAATGGGCAGTTCACACGTAATGTGGCTGGAGATTTGCAAAGGCCTGTGGGTAAGCAAAGTTCTGTGGGTGAGCAAAGGCCTGTGGGGAAACCAAGGGTGAGCAAAGGCCTGAGGGTAAGCAAAGGCCTGTGGGTGAGCAGAGGCCTGTGGGTAAGCCAAGGGTGAGCAAAGGACTGTGGGTAAGCAAATGCCTTTGGGTTTGCAAAGGCCTGTGGGTAAGCAAAGGCCTGTGGGTAAGCAAAGGCCTGTGGGTGAGCAGAGGGTGTGGGTGAGCAGAGGCCTGTGGGGAGCAGAGGCCTGTGGGGAGCAGAGGGCAGGCCATCTCTCATGCTCACAGGCAGTCCTGGCGGGAGGATGGGCCGCGTTCCCGGGGGAGCTCCGGGTCCCACCTGCTTCTTCCACCAGAACAAACCCCAGAGCCCAGGGCAGGACCCCTTCTCCCCGTGCTCTGGTCCCGCCCCCTCCCCCCAGCTGCTCCGTGAAGGTCTGTGTCCCCTTCATGAGGGCCCCTTCCGCTCAGCACCCGGAGCGAGCCCCTCCTCTGAGCCCCTGCAGGGGCAGATCCACTCTGCCCTCTGTTCCCCGCGCTGTGTCCTGGGTCAGGGTTCCTGCGCCCGATTCAGGAAGGGTCACCCAAGGCCGCCCCCTGGAGGATGAGTCTCAATGCTGGAAGCACAGGTTCAAGGACTGGGTGAAGCAGGCTCTGGAGCACGGTGACCGCAAAAGGGGCTCCCCGAGGCCAGCAGAGGGCGCCGCGAGACCGGCTATGGGGGTTTCTGCAAAACTGGGGCTCCCAGCTGGGCAGCCCTCCAGGGACCCCAGGCCCCTGGGCTGGGCCTTTGATTCCTGTGGGAACTGGGCAGGCGGGGGGTCTCTGGGCCTGAGTCCCTGCACGTGGCTGTGTGCGGCCCCAGCAGCTGCTTCCTCCCAGCCCCACCCGTGGGGACACTGGTGCACAGGCTGGCCTCCTGGGCAAGGGCCCCACAGCCCTCTGTGGCCCTGGGCAAAGGGCGGGGGGCACATTTGCATGAGCTGCCCCTCCTCTGCCAGGCCAGCTGGGCGGGGATAAGAGGAGCCTGGAGCCTGAGCAGCTCAGCCCTGGCTCTGAGGACCCAGGATCAGCTGTGAGCACCATGGCCTGGCCCCCTGTGCTCCTCCTGCTCCTCGCTCACTGCACAGGTAGCCACAGGCCTCAGGCACCCGCAGCCCCTGCCCCTGTCCTTCTTCTCACCCCCCTGTGTCTGTGTCTGTGTCTGCAGGGTCCCTCTCCCAGCCTGTGCTGACCCAGCCGCCCTCCCTCTCTGCATCTCCGGGAGCCACGGCCAGACTCCCCTGCACCCTGAGCAGCGGCTACAATGTTGGCAGCTACTGGATATTCTGGTACCAGCAGAAGCCAGGGAGCCGGCCCCGGTATCTCCTGGAACACTACTCAAGTACAAACTTGGGACCTGGGGTCCCCAGCCGCTTCTCTGGATCCAAAGACACCTCGACCAACACAGCCCATCTGCTCATCTCGGGGCTGCAGCCCGAGGACGAGGCCGACTATTACTGTCATGTGTATGAGAGCAGTGCTGAGCACAGTGACACACTCAGATGGGGAAGTGGGACAAAAACCCAACCTCCTCGCCCCAAGCTGCTGACACATGTTCAGAGGCAGGACCTGCCTGACTGGTCCCCGCAGGCCTGGCCCAGGTTGTGGGGTTAAGAGATGCTGTGAGCAGAGGGGCCACAGGTCCACAGGGGAGGAGAGCCGGGACCAGACGCTGTGAGCACAGGCCCGCGGGGGCGGAGCCACTGGCTTCCCTGGGAAGTGTCCGCCTCACCCCCTCCCGGGCACCCTGGTCCGTTACCGCGGGTCAAGGGGAAGGGAGAGGCCCATCGAGGGGGCGGCGAGCACATGCGCTGTCGGAGCCGGGCATCCACCTGGGGACGGTGCGATGGGAGAGACGCGCCCAGGAGATCCAGAGCTGGGCTGGGTCTGGGGCCTCAGCAGCCGGGAAAGCCTGGGAGACTGACTGCTGGTTGCAAAGGGCACGGGTCCTCCCCACGGGGAGGGAGCATAACCAGCTTAGCAGAGAAGTGCCCCTCCCCTCTCCCTCTGTACGGCCGCGTGCCCTGTGCGCTCACTCACTCCTCCCTCTCAGCAGGGATGTGGCTCTGGCAGCCGCCTGGGGCCCTCAGACCACAAGCTCCACGGTGAGCTGTCACAGCGCCCAGAGGCTTATAAAAATCACTAAAGGCTTTAAAATCAGCCGTTTCTATGGGACTGCACACCGATTTGGACTCGAAATTAATACCCCTGGCCCTTATGAGGTCTGTGTGAAGCATGATCTTATTTTCAAATTAAAATACGCAAACCCCACCAAATCCGGTTTGGCTCAGTGGATAGAGCCTTGGCCTGTGGACTGAGGAGACACAGGTCCGATTCCGGTCAAGGCCATGGACCTTGGTTCGGGGCACAGCCCGGTGGGGGGTGTGCAGGAGCAGATGATCAATGTTTCTGACTATCCCTCTCCCTTCCTCTCTGTAAAAAAAAAATCAATAAAATATATATTTAAAAATAAAATAATACCCAAAACCTTCTAATGTGAGACTAAATCCAATCTATTTTCACTGAAGACACTGGAGAATATGTCCAAAGATTGCTCTACTCATACACTCACCAGTCCTCCTAAGGGTTTCTTTTGTAATGGTTTCCAATCACAGCTTCCCTTCAATTTTATTTCCTATTAATTTCCGGTGTGTATGGCAGCACAGGGTTAGGCAGGGATAGATTTACAAAGTCCCCCCGATATTTCCCGAATCCCAGGGGCACCCCACACAGCTATTGGCTGTCTTCCCTGTGCTGTTCGCTCCCCCCCACCCCCAATGCTTTTTCACCTTCCAGCCTGTCCTTCCCCTCCCCTCTCACCCGCCCTCTAACCCCTTCGATTCCGCCCGCCATCGGCCTGCTCTCCGTGCCTCTCCGTCCGTCTCTGCTCTGCTGGGCTGTCTGCATTGTCCTTCCACTCCCGGGCTTCTCAGGCCTTTGCTCCCTGAGCCCCCAGCCCGCCCACCCCGGTGGTCCGGCCCGGGCAGCGGCCACGGGGCCCCTCCCTCCACGCAGCACTCTAACGGTCCAGGGGCACGGCTGCTGGTGAGTGTCCGTCACCTTGGCCGCTGGAGGCCGAGACCCATGGATGTGGAGGCAGGACAGGGACCTGGCCATCAGGCTGCATCCTCACCCCATCCACTAAAGCGGCTGCAGTTGTCACAGGGAGCAGCAGGGGGCGCTGTGGGGCTGCCTCAGCATCCAGGTGCCCTCAGCTGTTCCACCCCCCACAGTGCCCAGGGCTGGGCCCTGGTGCCTGTGTGTGCTGATGGGGGCTCTGGGCGGTGCCCTCTGGGCTGGGGCAGGTGCCAGCAGCTGCCTCCTCGCTCGTGTCTCCCAGGGGGACACTCTGAGGCTCCCCGAGAGCTGTGGCCTGGGTGACAGCCCAGCTCAGGCTGAGGGGGAGCAGCCAGAGGGGCGCAGGCTCTCCAGGAAGGAAGCGAATTTGTGTGAGCGGCCCCTCCCCGGGGAGGCCCTGAGAGGATAAGAGAGGCCTGGGCCCGGGGCTGCAGCTCAGGGTTCCCGCGGGGCTGAGCCACCATGGCCTGGACTCCTCTGCTCCTGGCGCTCCTCTCTCTCTGCACAGGTAGGGCCAGGCCTGGGCCCAGGCTCCTTCCCTTCCTGCTGGGTCTCCTGGGCACCTGCCCCTGGTCCCTGCCCCTCACTGACCAGTGTCTGTGTCTGCAGGGTCCCTCTCCCAGCCTGTGCTGACCCAGCCGCCCTCCCTCTCTGCATCTCCGGGAGCCACGGCCAGACTCCCCTGCACCCTGAGCAGTGGTTTCAGTGTTGGCAGGTATGACATATACTGGTACCAGCAGAAGCCAGGGAGCCGTCCCCGGTATCTCCTGAGCTATTACTCAGACTCCAGTAAGCACCAGGGCTCCGGGGTCCCCAGCCGCTTCTCTGGATCCAAAGACGCCTCGGCCAATGCGGGGCTCCTGACCATCTCGGGGCTGCAGGCTGAGGACGAGGCTGACTATTACTGTAAGGTGTGGCACAATAGCATTGTCCACAGTGACACACTCACATGGGGAAGCGGGACAAAAACCTCCACCTCCTCAGAGACTTGATTTACAACTGACCTTGTGAACATAACGTCCAGGTGCAAACTCCACGGGGAAGAACCTTCTGGTTCCTGATGGGTCTCTTTCCCGTTCGCTCCCATGACTCTGCGTCTCAGAAGCACAGAACCAGCACCAACACCCACTGGTCCCCACGTCCCTGAAAGGCGGCCTGTCATCCGTGGGCCCCAGACCAGGGCCCGGGCGATGGCTGTGTCTGACGTGATCTAAGGAAACAGCTGTGTGACCTGTTCCCAGAGCTCAGGCCCCTCCCAGCAGGCAGCCCGTCCCTGGAGCAGGGCCTCTGCGCCCAGAGGTCAGATCAGGGACCCCTCCTTCCTGGCTCCTGTGCCCGAGGTTCCTGCCCAGCCCTGTGCCCGCGACCATGCCCTCAGCTGGGAGGGGCTGGGGGGCCTCATTCCCAGGAGGAGACCCCGGCACAGGGCTGGCGTCACCTCTGCGGGACCCTGACCTTCAGAGCCATCAGGGGGAGGGGCTGTCAGAGGGGAAGGGGGTCTGAGCCTTAGAAATTCTTGGTGGGACCGAATGGTGCTGGATAACCTGCCAGAGCAGAAGGAATGGGGCTCTTTAGTGTAGGAGGAGAGACGTGAGGGGGTTAATGAGTCAATGAGTTTATCTAAATTAATGGGTTTATGTAAATTGGTGGGGTTAATGGGTTGATGGTTTTATCTAAATTGATGGTGTTATGTAAATCGGTGGGGTTAATGAGTTAATGGGTTTAACAGTAGGGTTAGGGTTAGGGATTAGGGATTAGGGCCTGGGGCTAGCACAGGGAAAACCCGCTGTGCTCTGGTGTGCAAACTGGGAATGTCTCCCGGGCCAGGCCTGTGTCCCCCCTCTCAGGGCCACATCCCCCGCCGCCTGCTTTTGTCCATGCGTCTTTCCTGGAAGGGGCCCTGACCGCTCCCTGGCTCCCGGTCTGTGGCTCTGGGGCTGCGATGACGGGGTGAGGAGTGGGGCGGGGGCGGCCTGGCCGGGAAGACGGAGGTGCTGGCTTCTTGGCCCTCGGCGGTGAGTGTGTCTGCGTTCTGGTCTGAGGACCGAGAGGAGCCGGTGACGGTGAGGCCTCCTGGGGCCGGGCCGTGTGCGCCGGGCTAGTCTACACGGCCAGGCCAGATGCTCCCATGTCCGGGAACAGGGGCTTTTATCATCCCCCCACCCCCACCCCCACCCAGTTAGTGATGTGGGAGTCTGGGAACAGGCAGCACCGGGGCCACATGGCCCCAAAGCCTCCCCTGAACCCTTTGCAGGAGGAAAAAAACACAAAAACCCACAGATTTAGGGTCCAGGCTCCTCACTCCCATGAAAGGGCCCAGCTGGGACCCTGGCCGTGTGGCTCAGCGGGCGGGGGCGCCACCCTGTGCACCAAAAGGCTGCAGGTTCGATTCCTGGTCAGGGCACCTGCCAGGTTTCGGGTTTGATCCCCAGATGGGACATATACAGGAAGCAACCAATCGCTGTTTCTTTCCTACATCTGTGTTTCTCTCTTTCTCTCTCTCTCGTTCCAAAATCCATAAAAACGTACCCTTGGGTGAGGATTAAAAAACAAACAAACGACAAAAGGCCAAACTATGACTTCCAACTCTGCCACTTGGGAGCGTTACAAATCAGGACCCCCCCCCCCCCCGCTTTTTCTGCAACCAGAGTCTCACTGGATTTTTCTGGTCTGGGATGGATACTGTTCCCTGTCCTCCAGGTCGCTGTCTGGGCAGCCAAGGCTGAAACCCACAGAGCTAACCGAAGAAAGGTGATCAGTGTCCCCCAACCCCCAGCCCCAGAATGACGACGAGACACCCCCACCCCGAGCCTGGTACCCCACCCGAGCCTGGTACCCAACAAGCGCTGGCCTCTCCGAGCACAAACGGAAGATGGTTGAGCGTGATGATGGGTTTAACGTGGGAAACTTCCAGGCCCAGGAAGACAGCGGCTGAGCCCCCAATGCCTACAGCTGAGAAGGGTTCTAACGGAGCCTCTGTTTCTGTTATTATGTCCTTGAGAGCTCAGGGGCATATTGACACTGTCAGCACAGACACAGCTATGCACCCATGTCACCTCATGTTGCAACAGGAATTCAGACCCTCACTCAACCTGTTGTTTTATTTTTTTAATTTAAAAAAATATATATTTTATCGATTTTTGTACAGAGAGGAAGGGAGAGAGAGAGATAGAGAGTTAGAAACATCGATGAGAGAGAGTCATTGACCAGCTGCCTCTTGCACACCCCCTAATGGGGATATGCCCGCAACCAAGGTACATGCCCTTGACCGGAATCGAACCAAGGACCCTTCAGTCCCCAAGCCGAGGCTCTATCCATTGAGCCAAACCGGTCTCGGCTGTTGTTTTATTTTTTATTTTTTGTCATTTGTCCTTGTACAATTTACACAATAAAAACAAACGCAGAGCATTTTTAAATTATTCCGTGAGCCGTGAGAATGGCCTTTCCAAAGGATCCTCCTGAGACTCGCAC